GATTTAACGACATTCACGCCGGTAACATCGCTTTTTTAGAATTAATAGTGTTATTTTATAACTTTTAAATATTTCTATTTTTCATATATAATTTAATTGGCAATCGATGTTGTTTTCATTTTTTGTTTTTTAAGATAAGTGGCAATTCTTGTTCTTTGATGTGACATCTGACGTCATATTCTTTCTAAGTATATGATGCAAGAATAATTTAAACGATCATTTTAAATAGACGCTCGTTAGCGATGAATTAGAATGTTGATTTCTAAATTGACTATCTGGTAACAGGATCCTTTTCTGTCAACTGAACTCGCATAAAATCGTTTAATATACGATCGCATACGATCCATCGTCCCGTACCTAAATCGCTCGAACGAAACGAAACGAGAGGAGTAGCTGGACGAAAGAAAAACACCGTTGATAGGCTATTAAGCTAGTCAACACCCTATAGAGTTACGGCATCCCGCGTTCGCTGTCTACCTGTTAATTACAGCCAGAACCGAGGCAATATCTAACGTCACGATCGCATCCGAAGCGGTTAAGAGCAGAGCATATATCACCATCCGTTTTTTCTCGCGATATTCCTTGACGCGTGTACTGACGCGATAATTAAGAGCCGCCGAACGGGCCAAGACAAAAATATCTTTGTGTAAAAAGCTGTCGATAAAATTTACATAGAGATTTTTCCGCGAATTTGTCCGGTGAAAATATGACTTATCTCTCAAGAAAATCTCTCTGAAACGAAAGTTTCGCGTTAACGAAAATATACGGAAAATTGGAGAATTTCCTAGTACGATAAATTATTATTGCGTTCCCGGTGCACTTTCTAGACCGTTTAGTTACGAGGGAATTTGTTTGTTATAATTAAACCGTGAGGAGATTGCGCACTAATAATTGGCTAGGTCCATGGCGACGTTGTTAGAAAACGGACGACAGGTGGATTATACGCGCTTCGGCGATCTCGCGCGAGAGAAGCACCCCGCTAACGGTAACGATAATAAGCGGCAACAATAACGCGTGATTATAGTTATTACTGCTGTTATTACTATTATCGTGCATCGTTACTGGCCGCGTTGGTTCATTGGTTGTGGGCGGACCAGCGAGATGGCCAACGACGTGAAAAGATGCGCTTTGCGGGAGTTTATATACGCACGATCCAACGTAAGATTCGGTTTGTCTTACGGCACGGAAATGCTGCAACGACACCGGAAGATCTATCGCCAACCGAATCACCTTGCATTGAAAAGACACGTCAATTCCCATGAAGCGCGCGCGCACGTAATTAATGGAAGAGTAAAAAGCTACGTCTTACGAAACGTACCTATTACAAATACAAGGAAGGGACTTTTATCATGATTGTTATAATTATTTTATGGGAATTGCGATTCCATTCCATAATATTAAAAAAAATTAACACAATCCTCCATTATACACCGAGTGAATTTTCTTTTAAAATTTACCTTGAAAATTACGCAACGTGGCAGTTTGAAGAAATTAATTTTCTAAAATTTTCCTATATATTTTACAAGTAAAATGTATGCGAATTAAAAGAGTATTGTAAAATTTCAAAAAATAAACGCTCATAAAATTCTTCGAAAGGCCACTGTCCCACAATGACATAATTTTCAGGATAAATTTTAAGAAAAAATTCTCTCCGAGTAGTTTATGTTTCAGTAATTTCAGTTGTCATATGTGTATCTTCCTATTTTTACGTGCTACATTTGGTTTTCCTCCCCTTTCAATTTGCATTACACACGGAGAGAATTTTTTCTAAAACTTTATCCTGAAAATCATGTAATCGTGAGACAACGTGGCATTTTAAAAAACTTTATAAGAGTTTTGAAAGTTTTTACTATACATTTTACTAAAATAAAATATATACCAAGTATAATTACTGGCAAAATGTATGGTAAAATTTGAAAAGCCATGCTGTCCCACATGATTCGCAGGTTAAATATTAAGAGAAACTTCTCTCCGTGCATGTATTGAATAATTCTGTACGTTTTCTATATTCATTCATTAAATATTGGCACATGTGTGTAAGTCAAAGAAAACATAAAAATATATATTAAAATGGAGCACAAAAGAGCCACGAGTAAAAGGCTATTAGCGCCTAACAATCGCCGGGCATTATTAAATTCTGCCCTACTTACGATCGGTTAATCGGCTTATGATGAAATTTGATAAAACGCCGTCTCACCTTGGGGGACAATATCAATTAATTGGCAAACTGTCGCGGTGAGTTTGCCGCGGTAAAAAGCGGAGCGACGCGAATTATAAGGTGACCGTGGCCGGGAACGAACCGAGAACGAAAAAGACCCGTGTCGAAACACTCAAGACCCCCGACGGTAATTAACCGCCGGCCGGGGAGTAAGCGTCGCGGGTGAACGATGAATTTATTACGAGCCTAATTGTAAGCGTAATTCAAATTACGAGCGGAAATTATAGTCTCGGCCATGCCGGCGCCGATATTTTTTTTCCTATGTAAATGCCAGTTGTCGGGTGGAAGAAAGAGATATCGACGCGATCGCAACGAATATCGTTCGTAGAAAAATCAGAACTCCACGTGTGATTACGCAAGGAGGAACACGCCGGGTAGTATACTGTTATTATTCATTGCTCGAGCGGAGATGACTATACGAGAGCGCAATAAACTTGTTCCCAGCAAACGCAGCGGAACGACTCTCCGCTTCGCGTTTCTTCGTCAATAATGCGACCGTTTCAGTCGCGGGCTAACGATGCTGTTTTTTCTTTCCTTCATGGGGTTGAAGATAATAATGTAGGCGAGAAGGATTTCATACATTTCTGTAATGAAATACGGGGTTAATCGCAGCGGTAAAGCTGGTTGGTTCACGTTGCTGGACGGGGGGGAGCGATCGTGAATCACGAATGCGTGCGGCTTTCGAAGTTATCTCGAAATGATGAAGATCAGAAATTCCGGAAGATTCACTCGCGCAACTCTACAATACCCGACGCGAATTCCCCCAGTTATGCCAAGTGAACCAAGTTGCGCCAAAGTACGCCAAAGTAGAATATCAAAGATTCCAAATTAATTATATCCGTTCACTCCGCCACCCACAGAAAAGATTTCCAGGCCCAATCTGTTATTACACTTCGATCTATCACGGAATAGCAGCGACGTAGCGACAATCACTCTTATTATTCCTTAGATCGAACATTCTTAAATTATAAATTAAAATAATGTTGGTGCGTGCATTTTAAATGAGGCAAACAATTAAGTAATGCAACCGGTATTTTGGAGTGAAACCGTTTTTTAGCAATTTTGAAAGATTGAATAGCATTATTTACTTTTCAAGTTGTATAAAGGGTGAGAAAACCCTCTCAAGCATAGTTAGGCTGTTGTTATTTTCGTTCCCAAAAAGTTTCTGTTTCTTTACTACCTTTTCTCTAATTAGGACAAATCGAGAGAAGACTTACTCTAAACACAAGACTATATAATCTTAATGCGCTACCTTATCTCAATATAGTAAGTTAATCTCATTTGATTCGACAGAGAAGAACGGGAACGATTGATTTAGTATAGTTTGATTTTTTACTGTCTAAGGTTGTAATAAGTTAAAATGTGCCAAGAATATTTTTGTCTCGTCACGAGAAATCCTTTCTGCGCGGATACGATCGCTCCGCAGCCGCTCCATTACACGCTCTCGTGCGTATTTTAACATCTCCCGACGACGCGTCGTCGCGGTCCGCCGCATTAAATTATCCTAACTCACTCGAGTCAAGCTTATTCCGGTTTCCCAGATCGAATCCGCTGAAGCTGGCGGCGATAAAGCCGAATCGTAATTTTCCCGGTCGCCTGTAAAACCTGTAACGTGACGCTTACGAGGCATCATAATGACAACAACAACGTTACAAACGAGCGAGTTAGCGGAGAGATATTAGGAACGCGGGCGCGCGCAGCTTCCTCGCTCCGAGATCTAGGCGGAACGACTCTCCTCTTCGCCGACTCTGCTACACTAGTAGTCGTAATAATAGAGCGTCCGTGCGGTATACGGCCCGATAATAAGTTCCTGGTTTACGGTTCATCGGCAGGTTATCCCTCGGGTGGATCGGCCTACCGTCCGACTGAAATGACCGTCTCGTGCACGGCTCGATTTCCAGCCTTCATGCACGACGCGAGACGACGAACGAGAGCTCGACTGCCTAGCCGCTTTGCTCGCCCGCTCGCTCGCTCGCTCGCTCGCCTGCCTGCCAGCCTTTCTATTCCTGCCCGTGCCTCTTTTTCACCACCGCACCGCATCGGTACGCCCGCACGTTCACCCTTTCACCTAGAGGCGTGGTGCGCGCGATATCGCGCTCCTGCGGGCGCAATTACGTCGCCGCCGGGGAAAATGTAAGGTAACGACCACCGACGTACGTCGATCCTCGCCTCCAGGTGAATTAATCGCTCTCCGGGGCGATCGACTCCATTGTAACGGGGCGTGTCCCGTAAGCTTCTCTCTTATCGCAAACAACTGCTAAGACTGGTCGATAAAAAGGATGCGTAATACAATAATGATAAATATAGTTATACGTGCCGGGCGAGCTGATTGACTTGAACTCTTAGTATAAAACATTGAACGTTGTTTAAAAGATTTATGGGTTTCTATGCGTTCGTACGTTAAAAGCTTTGAAAATGTTGCAAAAGACACAGAAATTATAGGGGAACCCGGGGCATAACGGGAACGCTAAGGTTAAAATTAATTTTAAGCAAAATGAAAATACATAAATGAATTATTTTTTTACGAAAATATTCTTTGAAATGTCTACTATAAGAAAAAAATGGTTTTACTGTGAAAGAATAGTTTAAAAGGACAAAATTTTTATTTTATTGAGACCATGACTAAATCTGATTATCATTTTATGCGGGGCATAATGGGACTCCTCACGAAACTTATATATTTCTTATACATTAATGTTTAAAACTTATTAAAAATGATTGTTTTAAATACGCAATAAATATACTAATGTAGTATTGGATTTTAATAATAATAATTATTTATTCATAGCACTTATGTATTATCAAATAAAAAACATTTTAAGAGCAGTAGGTGCAAAAATATATAATATCCTCCTTGTCATCGACTCCAGCACATGAATTGTGAGCCCAATTTAAACAGGAAGAACATCTTATCCATCCTTCGTTTGACGTTGAATACAATTCATTACAATAAAGGCACTGACAAGTATCATTTTCTTTCGAAGATGTATCGCAAGATTTATCCTTTTTATATGTTCGTCTTTTCTGTCCATATTTGTTTGTTTTTAATGTTTTCTTCTGCATGTTTTTCTTCTCTGCATTAGGTGCTAAAATTTTAAATTAAATTGTTTTGTAAAAAACTTTTAATTGATCTTTTTAATTTAATTTAATTTTTTTTTCTTTATTTTACTTGTTTTTTTAGCAGCTTCCAGCAAAGCCTTGTATGGTGATGAAGTTAAAATTGCAGTTTTTCCTCTATTGCGGCTTTTACGTCTTTTACCTTGAGTAACTTTTGGCAATGGCTGAAGAATTTCTGGCGAGCATGTAATAAACGTAGAAACATTACAATTTCTGGATGTTCCTGGTTGATTATAATCTCTAGAGGTTCCTGGTTGATTATAATCTCTAGAGGTTCCTGGTTGATTATAATCTCTAGAGGTTCCTGGTTGATTATAATCTCTAGAGGTTCCTGGTTGATATAATCTCTAGAGGTTCCTGGTTGATTATAATCTCTAGAGGTTCCTGGTTGATTATAATCTCTAGAGGTTCCTGGTTGATTATAATCTCTAGAGGTTCCTGGTTGATTATAATCTCTAGAGGTTCCTGGTTGATTATAATCTCTAGAAGTTCCTGGTTGATATAATCTCTAGAGGTTCCTGGTTGATTATAATCTCTAGAGGTTCCTGGTTGATTATAATCTCTAGAGGTTCCTGGTTGATTATAATCTCTAGAGGTTCCTGGTTGATTATAATCTCTAGAGGTTCCTGGTTGATTATAATCTCTAGAGGTTCCTGGTTGAATATAATCTCTAGAGGTTCCTGGTTGATTATAATCTCTAGAGGTTCCTGGTTGATTATAATCTCTAGAGGTCTCTGGTTGATCTACCGATTGAATTGTAGATGTTGTGGCTAACATTTCAGGACAATTTCCTTCGTTCGTATCCTGATTATGAATCTCATATTCTTCATCTACTCCAAGCGCAATGTCCGTAGGATCAGTTGGCAAAAAATCAACCTCAGTGAATACATTCATGTCAGTTGGCCAAGCACCACTCTTTCTGAATCCATTAATTGCCTTTGACCTGTTTGCAGATTGTATAAAAGCTTCACCAAATAAAGTTGCTATTTGAAAGAGTGTGACAACTCGTCCAGGATTGTGTCGTAA